ACCAAAGACCTTCAAGGACCCTCTCACAAGTACTACACGGTTTTACTATTAGAACACTTAAGGAGAGATGGAGATACACCAAAGGCACTCCAAGACACTCCTTAATAAAGGCCTTGTACAAAAAATGAGAAGTTGAAAAATTTACAAGAGATGAAATGTAAATTTACACCAAATGAAATGCAAATTTACACTAAATGAAATGTAAATTCACATTCAAATGAAATGCAAATTCACTTGAAATGAAATTAATGGCTGCAACAAAAGTTTTTAGAAACAAAATTCAGCCACTAATTAGTGACAAATTTAGTGATGGATTTAGAAATAGAAATTTTTGAAATCAAAATTTCCGTCACTAAATTTGTTACTAATTTCTTGTTTTCACAAAAAAATTTACTAAAATTTGGTTGTTCCTTTTCTTCCAATTCCAGCCACCAAGATTGCTGCCCTCACAAGTGTATCACTCCACTTTTATAAGTAGCCTTGATGATGGATACTTCTAGGTGTTTAGAACTCAAAGCCAAAAATCCAATGGAGAAGAAATTCTTCTAGGTTGCCACCAAAAAGCCTCCAATATTGACTTCCTTTGAGCTTGGCCTTCAACACCTTCAAGGAGCACTCAACACACCTTAAGTGATGGAATAACAAGTCTAAAAACTAAAAATGCACAATTAGGAACAGCTACACCAAGTGGTGGAAAGCAATGTGACAAGACTAGAAGGAATTCCAAGAAAAGACAAGCAACAAATAAAGCACTATTTGAAAGCTAGTACACAAAGGAATTCCTAACAAAGGCACTAGAATGGATTAAAAAACAAAGCTAAGATTAGAAACAAAATTAAGACACAAAATATGTGGTTGGACTGAAAATTAATAGGCAAAAATTTCACCAAAACTGAGAGCTAATTCACACAAATTTTCACTCCTTGGCTTTTCTTGTGTTCTTTATTTTTGTTTTCTTTTGTAAATTATTTTGTTCTTTATTTTTCTTTGTTGAAACAGGAGTTATGGGTGATCCCTCCACCTTTTAATAAATAATATCACTTTGTGTTATTTAAAAAAACATATTTAAACATTTATTTATAATTAAATAATGCGACGGCATGACATTTAGAGATTAAAAAAATTAAAAAAATAATAATCATGTTAATAATATTTATTAATAAAATAAATATCAATCATTCTATTAAAATATATATAAATGAATATCAAATTGATGTGAAACTAAATTTTCATATTTTTTCAAAATATAAGAATTAAATGTTTCTTTTTTAAAATAGAAGGACCAAAATTTTAAATTGACAAAAATAGAATAAAAATATAATTTAACATAAATTTATTCATCCAAAAAGAATTTTCAATAATTATATTTTTTTTCACAAAGTACTTTTTGAAAGTTTTTTTTTTGTTTTCAAAATGTCGTTTCCAAGACTATGTTTTAACATTCCCAAACTTAAAGAGTAAAAATATATTTATCATAGTACTTTTCAGAAGAGAAATATTTTTACTTTTTTAAAAAGTATCTGAAAATATATATTATGCTTCTTAAACTTTTCCAAAGTATGTTTTAGTACAACAAACTTGAAGAATGAAAATATATTTTTTGAATATACTCTTCTAGAGAGAATATATGATTCTTGAAAGTACTTTTTGGTAGAGTCATCAAAATTCTTGAACCAATCTAGTCCAACAGAGGTTTGACCGAAGTTGGGTCAGAAAAATTTGACTAATTTCAATTTAAAGAAAATTTTGGCTTGACTCACCATGGGCTAATTTGTGGTGAGCCAAGTGGCTCATGAGTTTGCCCACCAAGTTTACTTTTTTAATTTTTGGCTCTTAAATGTTAAATAGATATTAGGCTAAATTGGACTTTTAGTCTCCTTATAATGTCAAATATGTAGTTTTGGTCTCTTTATATTTAATTTCACAATTTTTGTCCACCAATTTTATAAAATCAACAAGTTTGATCTCCTTGTTGAATGCTCATTTGTTTATCATTAAAATTGTTATATTATCATAATTTAACATTAAATAAATGATGTGACAATTAATATTTAATAATATTAGGCTAAAATTTATTAATAGTTCTCATTTTTATCTCATAAAAGTTGTTAAATGAGATGAAAATATGATACAAATGAGAACTAAAAGTACAAATTGACATATATATTATTAATTATTAATCAACGTGTCATCGATTCAATGATATGTTACAACCAATATTACAACTTTAACAATCAATGAATAAACATTCAATAGAAATATCAAAATTGTGGATTTTATAAAATTGAGAGACTAAAATTGCATAATTAAGTCTTAATATTACAAGTTGATTAGGTTGGTTGTGATTAATGTCTGATTTTTTTTTACAATTTTTTTGTTATATTATTAACATATAATTATAAGATATAAAACTATAAAACATTTGTTTTACTAAATTTAATAAGTTTTATTTTTTATTTTTTTTCTTGATTTAAGTGAGTCAATCCGCTTAATCCATCAACCCGTGATAAGTCGAATCCGATTTTTTTTTAAACTCAATTAAGGGTGAGTCATGTTAGGTTGATCCACCTATTATCCAACTCATGGTGGGTTAAGCCAAGCGACCCACTTTGTAAACTCTACTATTGGGTAGAGAAAAAAAATGTACTTCCTTTTCAGAAGATAAATATACTTATGAAACTAGAAGATAAATATTTTTAATCTTTTAGAAAGTATTTTCCAGAAATATATTTAAAGAACCAGAAAGCATAATTTCATAATGATGATAACAAAAAATATATTATTTTTAATCTATAATTCATCGTAAAATTAACAAGGTCATACATTTGAAAACTATTTTATAAAATTCATAACCTTACTAATGTATGAATATTAAAGATAGAATGAAAAATTAGGATTTAAAAATTTTTAAAATTAAAAGTGCCAAAAGGGAAGGTTTAAAAATAATAAAAATCAATTAGATGTTTTGTTTGTTAGAAAAAAAAAGTTCAAGAAAAAATAGTAAAAACATAAAGGGTGTGTATGACGAGTGGTTAGAGAGAAATAGAGTACCTGAAGAAACGTGAAGGAAAAAGATACAGGAGGTGAATGCAGAAGATAATTTTTTAAATAAAATTTAATTTTAAAAGGAAATACATTAAAAAAAATATTTCAGGAAAAAATTTTAAAAAAATTAAGTAAATGACGTATCTCTCAAAATGGAGAGTTGTATCAAAATTAAGTAAATGACGTATCTCTCAAAATGGAGAGTTGTTCACAGCGATTGTCGTGTTGTATCGCTTTCTTTGAGCCTCAGTTCTGATTTGGATGTAAGTGCCATGGGACGACTTTGGATTTTTAATGTAAGATTAGATTATTTTCATGCTTACAAATGATATTTTAGAAACGGCAGGCATCAATACTAAGATCGAACAATGGTGAAGGATTAAAGTAGCATACACATGATATTAAGTTCAAATCCCATGACTCAAATTCCTAGAGATAAAAAAAATATAGTAGACAAATTTCGTTTTCATTTCTCTTCTAGTTTTCATTCCTCCGTCTTCCTTTCTTTAAGGTTCGTCAGCAATACAACATAGCATGAGACACTCAACAAAAGCGTTGCTAAATTCTTATCCGGTTCTTTAAGAACCCATTACTTATAAAAAACTTATATTAGAACATATTAACATGACAGGTCAAATTACTAAAATTTAAGCATCATTACTTAAATAAGAGACGGTTACTTAAGAATAAAAAATAATTTAATATTTCTTTCCTTTACTGATGTCAACAATTATAATAATTAAATTTTTTAAAATTTATTAAAAATAAAACATGAGTGATTAAAAAGTGGAAGTATTTATAAACAATTTTTATCGAAGTAAAAATTATAAAATATAATATAAATTATTTATGAATGACATAACATTATATGATCTATTTAAAGTGTTTAAAGTGAATTTAAAGTGAATGAGACTTGTTTATAAATAAGTCTCATATATATATATATATATATATATATGCTCTAAAAGCCGGCTTATATCACACTTTTCAATACGGCGACGGAAATCCATCCATTTTCATTCTAATTTCACAATGAGAAATTAGATATTTTTATAATTAAGACCACTTCAAGTTCCTGTCCAACCAAAGTTAGCCAACAAAAATGTAAGTACCACTATTGGTTGAATTAAGATCGCAAATTACTGCCAAATTTGCAAATTCCGCAGGACTAGCGTTGTCCTAAGGTGATAAGATGTCAATTCAGTCAGTGTGTTATAAAGCATGAAAGAAGAATCTTCTAGAGAAATACTGGAAAAGTTATTGAGTAATCAAATCAAATAATGCTAAAAGGCCACCTGGGATGTAGAAAGAAAATTTTACAAAATATGAAAAATCTTCAAATTCAAATTTACACTTTGGTGCTACAAGATGAGTGGCACATACGAATGTACAGAGTTTAATTTTTATATGCTATGGGTGTAATTTTATTGTATAATATTAACCACTAAAAGTCAACTTAAATATAAGTTTTGAAGAAATTATCACAAAAACCAACAATTTTTAATCCCATGCTAAACCATGATTCAATGACAATGTTTACACTCAATGTATTCCAATTAAATTCGGTTGCTATATTCATCCATGCCATTTCTTGCAAAAGATATGAAATTCCTTTAACTTAAAATTCATTCAATAATCAATATCAACATACCTATGCTCTAGAACTCCCACCATGATCCCTCTCAACATGCTCCACAAGCGACACAGGATCTCGAAATCCTCTACTACACTTTGGACAAACATCAATTGTAACCTTTGCTCCAGATCGGTTGCCACTCCTTTCATGAAAGTTTTGCACATGGTCCACCAATGTAGTAACCGAGGAAAACTTGACACCACACTGAGGACATTGCTCCACTTGACCACCATTATGGCTCTGTCCAACCGCTCCTCTTGCTGTCTGCCAGGCTTGGTTAATTTCACCACTCAACTTTGATACGCCAGCCTCAGCTGAAGCTCGAATGTTAGATGCCGTATTAAGAAAGCTTGTAGTCCATTTAGATGATGCACTTGAACTTGACTTGGGTTTGGACCCCTCCTTCTTACTCCCATTCAAAATATTCATAAATGAAAAACTAGTTTGCAAATTTTTGGGACCAGGACATTTATGATCGGGTCCATACCGATGCTTTAAACAATTTGTATAATATTAACCACTAAAAGTCAACTTAAATATAAGTTTTGAAGAAATTATCACAAAAACCAACAATTTTTAATCCCATGCTAAACCATGATTCAATGACAATGTTTACACTCAATGTATTCCAATTAAATTCGGTTGCTATATTCATCCATGCCATTTCTTGCAAAAGATATGAAATTCCTTTAACTTAAAATTCATTCAATAATCAATATCAACATACCTATGCTCTAGAACTCCCACCATGATCCCTCTCAACATGCTCCACAAGCGACACAGGATCTCGAAATCCTCTACTACACTTTGGACAAACATCAATTGTAACCTTTGCTCCAGATCGGTTGCCACTCCTTTCATGAAAGTTTTGCACATGGTCCACCAATGTAGTAACCGAGGAAAACTTGACACCACACTGAGGACATTGCTCCACTTGACCACCATTATGGCTCTGTCCAACCGCTCCTCTTGCTGTCTGCCAGGCTTGGTTAATTTCACCACTCAACTTTGATACGCCAGCCTCAGCTGAAGCTCGAATGTTAGATGCCGTATTAAGAAAGCTTGTAGTCCATTTAGATGATGCACTTGAACTTGACTTGGGTTTGGACCCCTCCTTCTTACTCCCATTCAAAATATTCATAAATGAAAAACTAGTTTGCAAATTTTTGGGACCAGGACATTTATGATCGGGTCCATACCGATGCTTTAAACAATGGTCTACTGTGCAGTCCCTGCACTTAATTGTGTTTGAGAATACTAATATCTCTCTGCATCCAGGGACAGGGCATTTCTTCTTCTTCGTGACTTTCTCATAGTTTGATGGGTCGCACTCAGTGTTGACATGATTCTCCCAAGTTATGTTTGGATCTTGATCAGGAACTAGGCGAACTCCTTTGGCGCAAAGTGGACATATAACTACAGTGACATCTCGCTTGTCAGCTTTTGTACACTGATGTTTAATGTAGCTTCTGTGCTCCAAACAATACACCTGCAATAGATTTGGTTGATATAGTTAGATCAAACAAAAAAAATCCTAAATTGAACACAAGTAGAATACTTATCCATAATTCGATACCTAGATAAGTTCACAGAATGTCATCAGGAAAAATCACTAACCAGAAAATATTGTTTCTTGCATGAACCCAAGAAATTAAGCGCTTCTCAGAACAAAAGAAAAACGATTAACACTTAACTACAGCTGAAATTTTGACTTTTGACTTTTGACGGGTGCAAAAGTCTTGAGTCAATTTCCAATCTTTAAAAGTTTAAAACTTTACAACATCCCTTCACTGTATAAGCATATATTCTTTGATGATATTTTTATTTAGCGGACTGAGGCTCATGGAAATAAAAATAAGAACAATACTTAGATGAAATTCCTACTGATCAAAAAATGATGGAAATTCTTAATGGTGTGTTTGGATGAGGAATTTTACAAATTTAAAGAATTTTAAATTCTTGGTATTTGAATTACTTTGATTTCAATTTCTATCATTCTTAAAATATTTTGTTTGGATAAGTCAATTCAAATTTCTCAAATTTTAAATTGTTGGGTTGGATATGATAATTTGATTCTACCATGATAAAATTGATTTTAAAAATATATTTATATGTTGAGATTTTTAAATTAAATTTTATAAAAATAAATATTAGCTAATTTTTAAATATTTAATAATTTTAAAAATTAATATTAGAATAATATTTAATAACTTTAAAAATATTTTTGAATATTCAATAATTAAAACTTGAAGAGATAAGAGATAAGATAAAATATATAAGTGAAATAAGAAGAAAAAAATTATGAGGAATTTCAAATTCTTGCTTTTTTTGAAGAATTTGAAATTCTACTATTTTAAAGAATTTCACAAATGCATGAATTTCAAATTCCTTATAAATTCTCCATCCAAACAAGATATTTCACCTCAAAAAATTTGAAATTCTTCAAATAAATGAATTACTCCATTTAAATTCTCCATCCAAACACACTATAAGTGTTATTTTGTGTTATTATCCAATTAAAATTGAAGTTTAACCTTAGTAACCCCACACAATAAAGCTCAACATTCATAAAAGGTAACTCCAATTTTAATTATGGAACTATAAAATAAGAGCAATATACATAGATCATAGTAGTTAATAGCACTACGGTGAGATGGCAGAGCGGCTTTCGATAGCAGTCACACACAATAGTGGCACGAGCATGATACAGGCTTCAAAACCCCATTTTTACTCCTCAAACATTAATGATTGCGGGGCTGGATAAAATATTCCACAAAAGTTTAATTCTCTTTTGACCTTTAGTCCTTCATACATTATAGAACTATTTTTTTAACGTGTTCCGTTCTTCCTTCTTCCTTTATTCCCACCCAGTTCACATTCTGCTAATATTTTATCAAACTAGTTATCTTCTTTTCTATTAATTTCACCCGTTCTTTCAGTTTTTGACTTCATAACTATGCTCTTATTGCTTCTAGATTGCTGATGGTTGTGTGAGTTAACTGTGACTTATTATTCATCACGAATTTCTTTAGTTTAATTTTGTTTTGTTGAGTATTCATGTGTAGTATAAATTATTTAGTTCATAAAATAATATTTAAAACATTGGGCTTCCTGCTATTGTGCTACAGGTTTTTCACTTTCAAAGTTAGCTGTTACTCTCCAAGATTGATAACTACGACTTAGATAGAATTCCTTAAGTGCTTTAGGTGTTACTCTCTTATTAAAATTGGAGTTTCACTTTAGTAACCTGTAAAATAACGGCTGGCATTGATTACAGAAGCAAAAGTTCAGTTTTAATTAGAAAACAACCCTAAAAGTACCTCAAAAATGCACCTTAATTTTATCCTAAAGATGACCATAAGCCTCAAACTCAACCATAAGGATCCAATTGCTCCTATCATCACTTTGGTCTCCCACTCAACCATCACTCTCCTTATCTCTTAGTTTATAACTATTTCCACTGGCGTTCCTAATTAATGAAGCCACCTTCTCCGCACTTTTCTTCTATTGTTTTATGCTGCAGACTTATACAACTAACCAACTTTTCCATCCCTACTTCAAAACAAATAAACCCTCCTTCCATAGCTTACCATCTCAAAAGCAACTCTTCTTCGTCATTATAATTCCTATAAATTTGTAACTACGGAAAAATAGATTTTCACCCCAATAACTACTAGCAAAGCAACAAAAGTCATCAATATCTGAAGAAAATTTATATGACGATGCAGATCAAGGGCACAAGAGAGCTGAGAGCATAATACTACTAAAAAAATTACAAATTGGACAATTTTATTCACATAACATGAATAGTATAAGATTATATTGTTTTCATTTTTTTTTAACATAATCATATTATTGATTCAAAATATTCATCTTTCAGTCACAAATTTCTATCCAAAAATCTAGCTGACCACCTTCAGTAGGTCAACCTTCAAAATTCGAATTCAGAGAGTCCAGTTTCATTTGGAAAATTATTCTGATGATAATACAAGTATTATAGCAAATTACATAAATATTAGACTATAGGAATAGGAGTATTTTAGGAAATTGAGTCGTTTGGGTATGAGGAAGAATAAGAGAGGGAAAAAAGGAGGAACCTGGTCGCAGCGATCGCAGGTAAAAGGCAAGAAATCGATCAGCTTGCAATCGGAGACAGCACAGTGCTTACCCAGATCTGGGAATTCGGGAGTTCCCATTGAACACTTTGGAACGCAGCAATTAAACAAATGAAATTGAAATTGAAATGAAATTGGCGAATCCGGAGAGAAGGAAGTTAGGAGGGTGGGAAGGGAAGTGAAAGAGAGTCGTCGCCTCGTCGGAACGGAGAGGGAGTCATCCTATGCTGACCTTGACCCCTTCCCCTAGCACCGCCTGCCATCCAATCCCAATATAAATAAATCGTTAAATTATATTTTTTTTATTCATTTGCGTTTTATATATATATATATATATATTTGGACCGAAACATCTTATTGAAATAATGATAATTTTAAATTTTACGATACATATAATTTGTAATATTAAATTTATTTATATAAAAATTATGAAATTTAATAATTTTAAAAAAATTATAAAATACAATGATTATATTGAAAATAGTGTGCAAATATATTTAATGTGTAATTAAGAAAATAATAAAATTATTCTTTTTTGAAATTTTTTTATCACTTTTTATGCATTTTTATGTAACTTTTTTTTTTATCATTTTGGTAATACATTTTTGTTTGAATTTCAGTTGTATTCAATAATTTTTAAACAAATGAATCAAATGAAAGAAGTTTTTTTAAAAAATTCAAAATCATCTCTTAAAATTGAAGACAATTATTATTTTAAAGAATAAAAAATTAACTCAAATTTAAGAGATAAAGGGATAAAATAAATTAAAAAAATAAAAGATCAAAATAAATCTAATAAATAATATGAACGATCAAAGGCATAAATAAATTTATACTATGAAGTTGTTTCAAGTTGTTGTAATTAGCTTATCTATTTTCTATTATATGTTGTTTTATCTTTCATAAGCTTGTCTTTGTTTTTCTTGCATTGGATTGGGATGATCATGCTTGATAGGAGAACATGTCAAGATTAGAAGGAGGTTAAGCGTGGAAGCTTTTGGGATAATCATGTTGGAGATGGCTTTTTAGTTGAGGTTATCTTTATATAGCTTTGTATATAGAGTTGCTAGATCGAACATTCATAATTTACGTTTCCCTCAATTCCTTGTAGTTTTAGATATTTGTAAATATTAATATATGCATAGGGATTACTATAACCCCATAAAAGACTTTATACTTTAAGTAGTGATGGGTAGGGACTATTTTTTTTTTTGGCACCATATACATGTATCAACATGAATGTCTATAGTCTTTTTACATGAGACTCTTAGGTTAGTTGGCTTTTATGTTTTTCACTACATGGTACGTTATGTGTTGTACCGAGTATAGTAACCTGGTGGGTTATTACAAGCTCATAGCAGTTCAGGAACCTACAACCACACACCAAACTACAAGAACTTGTAAAAAAACAAAGAACAAGATTTGCAACCTTTAAAAACCTAAGGAACCACTTTAGTGCCAAAGAACAATGTTGTCATCCTCCAAACCATTATGAAATTCAACATTTTTTGTAAGCTCGAATCCATAGTCTATGTGAAGTTGAAGGAGGTTAATCAACACTAGTTGCTTCTAGAAGATTTGGGTCAATAGATTAATTAATCAAAATGAATAAACGAGTCTATGGTGCTTCGCAAGGAAATTGAACACTAAGAGGAGGATATTCCTATACTTTTGGTGTAACACCCCAGTTTTCAAAAAGGTTATTATTATTATTATTATTATTATTATTATTATATGGTATTTGGTCATAATTATTTTAACAATTATAGAGGAATATTATTTTGTACGTTTTAAATAATTATTGTTTTGGACAATTATTTTATACGTATTAAATAAGTATTTTTATTAGCAATTTTAAATAAATATTTATGTTTTAAGAGAAGGTTGATTTTATATGATATTTTGTTATTAAAATTATATTATTATATTTTGGGTCATAATTATATTATTATTATAGAAGAAAAATATTTTATAATATACATGTATTTATTTTATTTAATTATTTTGAGGAAAAAGAGAAGTGGGTTAAAAGAGAAGGAAAATGGGTTGGGTCGACCCGGCCCAATGGATTTAATTTAAGAAAAGAGTCAGTTAGCGTTAAAACTGTCTACCTCATTTTGCGTTCTGAAGGGTTAGAAAAAAAAAAGAGGAGAAACAAAGAGCTCTAAGGAAGAGTACTCAGGAATGATCTTAGATCACACCAAGACCATTCGTCTTCTGCTCATCCAGGCAAGGGGGGAGTGAGAAACCTCGCTCGGGGTGTGGAGATAATTGTTGGGTAGTCGGATTAGCCTCCAATCCCTTGCTTGATGCATGCTCCTAGGAACAGACAAAATACAAATGTTTTCTGTTTTGATTTCTGATTCTTCTGTTGTACTCCTTATTGAATGAGATGTATGAATATATGATTAATTTTGAAAATAGAAAAGTTTTGATATGAATTAGAGTGCTCTGTGGGTTCCTACGGGAAACCCTATGAGAAAATAGGAAAAATATAAATGTTTTCTGTTTTTCTTTTTGAATGTTCTGTTACGTTCCTTGTGTGATGTATAGTGTAAATATGTATTTAATTTTGAAATTAGATTAGTTCTAATATGAATTAGAGTGCTCTGTGGATTCCGTGAGAAATCCTATGAGGAATAATTATAAGTATGACTATGTGAAATAGGAACAAATGATATTAGACATGATATTATGAAATGTGATGAAATGAGATAACTATGAGAATGTGAGATGTGATGAATGTGAAATGTGAAGTGATGAGTCCATGAAATTGTGAATGTGTGACATGCATCATTTGCATTTATTATAAGCTAATCAGGTGTACTTTTTGGTCACCAAGTGATGTAACCAGCTAATCAGGTGTACCTTTTGGTCACCAAGTGATGTAACAAGCTAACCAGGTGTACCCTTTGGTCACCAAGTGATGTAACCAGCTAATCAGGTGTACCTTTTGGTCACCAAGTGATGTAACAAGCTAACCAGGTGTACCCTTTGGTCACCAAGTGATGTAACCAGCTAATCAGGTGTACCTTTTGGTCACCAAGTGATGTAACAAGCTAACCAGGTGTACCCTTTGGTCACCAAGTGATGTAACCAGCTAATCAGGTGTACCTTTTGGTCACCAAGTGACGTAACCAGCTAACAGGTGTACATTGTGTCACCAAGTGATGTAACAAGCTAACAAGGTGTACCTTGGGTCACTAGTGATGAAATGATGAGAAATGTGATTATGAGACACGTGACTGGCGCCACATGCATTTATGAGTCGAGTCCATGAGATCATTGCATGATGAATGATTATGAATGTGTTATTGTTATATGTATAATTTAAATTTGTACCTAAATAATGTGTGATGATGACTGTGATTGTATGAACTGTGTGTATGTTTCCTAACTATTATTTCTACACTTAGAACCGAGTGAGATATTTCTCACTCCCTTGTTGTTCCTTGTATGTGTTTAAAATTGTGTTGCAGGTGATCATCAGCATGAGGATGTTGGTGATGAAGCTTAGGCTTCAGTTGGACATACTCTGATAGGATATGTGACATCAGGGCATAGCTAGGCGTAATTAGGATTTCATTAATGTATTTTGTTTGGAAAAACTTATGTTTTATCTTTTCCGCATTTGATAATGTTCTAAGATTATGAATGTGAATTCTCTACTCTCACGTTATTAGAATTGTTGTTTTAATAATAAATATTTTTAACTCAATAAGACGTTCTTTTTATCATGATTTCATATTTATGTTGGGGTAGAGGGTGTCACATTTGGTGCTTCACATTTTTGTTGGAGCTCTAAGACACTTGTTTGGGGATGTTGGACATGTGGTGTTTCATGATTGTGTTTGATTGAGGCCTTGTGATAGTGGTTCAGATGATTGCCATCCGCTCTCGTGTGATTTTAGTGGGGTATTGATGAGAGGGGGATTCAAAAGCTTCTAGATTTAGAAACCATTTAAAATCTTTTATATGTAACATACGAACAAACATCAGTTAGTCCTATAACTAATTTTATATATACTCTTGAAATCAGTCAAAAGGAAATCAATTTTTAAAATAGTGGTATTATTTATAAAACATATCATCTTCTCCTATTAAAGCGATTACCTTGTGGTGAATTTCAAAGCCCACATCATATGTATATTTTGCACTAGTGTTATAAAATAATTAAGGCATATATATTTATATATCATATCAAGAATTTGAGAATAACATGTGAGTTGTTAAAGTCTTAGTCATTTGTTAAGTTTAAGCATGAAACTTAGTATTTGTTAAGTCTAAGTGAAACATTTTGCCAATTATTAAGTCTAAACTAATGCTTAGCCATTTGTTATATAAGAAAGGGCTTTGTAAGTGTAGTTTATGTTCATGCATCATGAGGTGTTTGAGATATGGTTCAAAGTTTGACTAAAGAAGTCTTTATAATCATTTATTTTGACCTTTGGGGTTTACTTAGTTTGGGATCTAAATATCAAAATATTAAGAAAGGAGCACCTTGCACACAACTTTGTAACCCTAATAGACTTAGTGAATCTTCGTCCCAATTGAGAATGGTTTTATCCAATACCCATTGTTCGGTGATTTGTTAATTGTCATGTGCTCCTAGGTTACTTGTATTTGTGTATGAGAAAATGAGTTAATGGTATCACTATAATTAGAACATAAGAGCATAAGATTCATCATTTCATATGTCTTTGAGTACTTTGTATATGTGATTGCGTGTTAATTTATTTATAGATGTTTCCTTACCTTTCTATACATAAGATAGCGTTGTCGATTCATTATAAAAATTACTAGATTTTTCTCAAAAATTTGTAATATAGGGAATAACCTGGACCATTCTTCTTGAAGACACAAATCAATATGATCCAAAATTATCATGCATGGTTAAAATGGAGATTTTTTGAACAACGAACAAAAATTGGAAAATTAAGAACACAAACAGAAAATTAATAAAAAAATTCAATTAGTAATTACATTTATTCAAGATTTTAATTCTTACACTAAAATTTTCATGGTTTAAATTATAATCTAAATTTAATCAACCTAAATTAATACGAAAATAATTAAAATGTAGATCTAAATCTATATTTATTGAATTTCATAAAAAAAGTGAAACGCAATTGCGATCTTACAATTTCTATGAAATTCAAGAACGATGAATAGTTGATTTAAATTGATTGAATTCGGATTATAATTTGAATTGTAAAAATTTTACTACAAGGATTGAAATCTTGAATCAATGTTGTTAGTCAAGTAGTGATGGAGGACCATCCTTGGAGCTT